CGCCCCTATGACCCATCCGGGCCAACCTGGGTACCGGTCCCACTTGAAAGGGACCGGTCGGCCGCCCGGGCGGGCGGGGTGCCGGCCTGTCGGGTCGGGTCGGCGCTCCCCTCGCCCGGGCGGTGGTTAGGGGGCACCCCCGGGAAAGATGATTTTCCGGGGGTGCGGGCGGGGGCCCGCAGCCCGTCTGGCCGTCAAACATTAAAACCACGTTTATTGTAGGGTAGTAGTTCTCTTGCCCGTCTTTCCTTCCCAACTGTATTCCTTCTCCGTTTTTTTTTTCTCTCGTTGATGTTACCTCTCATTTTCGTTATATTGCTTAACCCGCGCCCTGCTGGGGGGGGGTGTTTGAACACCCCCCCTTGTGGTTTTTCGCGAATATCTCAAAAACGGCGGCGCGAAGCGCCGCCGTTTTTGGTACACCTTATCATACATCAATTCTACACATGTTGTGAAAATTTCAGACCAAGGTCATTCAAGGTCAGGTCACCAGGTCACTTGAAGTGACCTCACCTCAAAAAAACTTTCAATGTCTGTCATAGCTACACCGAGTGACCGATCGCTTTGAAACTTTCAGCGATTGCTAAGAGCAATAGCATGTACAAAATGTATATCTCAGAATTTTGATATCGATGACCTAAGGTCAGGTCAATTTTGCGACCTCCCCATTATAAGTCAATGGGAGAAAATTGAAATGCGCCTCTTTTGGATGATTCACATTATAAACACTCCCAAACACCGAATTACAAGTGGTTTAGACACACTGAACTTGAAAATTGTGTCCGTGACCCTTGTTTATGCCCTGAGGTCATCTTAGGTCACGAATGGTATCTAACAGTTTTTCGCAAATAACTTTTGATAGAGGCATGCTAGAGCGATGGAAACGCCTTAGATGTGTTCAGCTTGCCGATACGGATCGACTGATATGCAACATGACCCTTTCCGGTCAGTTCATGACCTTGACCTGAGGTCAAATTTTCAAGTTGACCTTTCAAGGTCAAGTTATAGTTCATTCGATGCGTCTTGACGAGAGGAACACGATGCCGGTAAAAGTAAGCTCGTACAAGGCTTGGGTCAAAAGTTATTGCAGAAAAACTGTTTTCGAAAAAATCGGTTATTTTTGCAGTTTTTGCCCCCTGCAGGCAAAACCGTTGACGTTAGGTCAAATCTGAGGGAATTATTCAGAAAGGGCGTTAATAGGGCTATCGAATGCGCTTTTCCGCGGCGCTGTAGCTTTATTGGTTCCCGAGTTATGCGTTGGCTTCTTGGAAATTTTCGACATTCGACCTGGAAATCGGCGAAATTTTGCCTTTAATGACCTCTGGTGACCTGACCTTTGACCTGACCAAAAAATTGACCGAAGTGATTTCGTCATTATTTTTTACGCTCTTTCGAACGCCGCCTTCCGCGTATCGCTACGTGGCCCAGGAGCCGAGTTACAAGGGGGGGTGTTCAAACACCCCCCCCCCCCCCCCAGCAGGGCGTGGAAATCCAGGACCCCCAGCAGGGCGCGGGTTAAATTGCATTAATTTTCTACTCCAACCACCTCGGAACTGGCCTCTGTGGGCTGTCTGACAACAAGCTCTGCTTAGTTGGACAGCTTTACAGAGGCTCAGTGAATGACCTTGCTTGAATTTGACCAGAAATGACCATCTACGACCATCTTCCATGTATGTATGACTGCTCCCCCTCTAATCCCTTCCTCCCACTAACAATACCCTGTGTAAGTGTGCATCAGTGGGCGTTTCAGGCGTAGAAGGGCAGTCACCAACTGTTTTCAGTTGTGACTACTTTGCTTCTCTTAAGCTACTATATTAACAGCATGCATACTCCACTGATATTTCTCTCGTTTTTTGCATTTTTTTTGTTTTTTTCCTTACTCTTAGCTGGGAGTGCCGCGACTTATCATTTTAAGTTCACTGGTGTTAACGTAAGGTTCTGTGTGTCGCTGGGATAGAGGGAGGGGGCACTCCTGGTCACCTGTTCATGGGTGGCGGTGTAGAAAAAAATCTGGTTTCAGGACATCAAATAATGTGAGATTGTGTAATTTGTTTGAAAATTGTACTTTTTGTAAAGTAAATATTTACCAAAATACATACCATTCTTTTTCACAGGGATCAAAGACTTCAAAACAATTGTTGATGGATTTATTACAATGGTTGATGGACTCTCAAAAGCAGTGGAAGAAGAAAAAATCAAAGCAATTGGAGCCAGAAATCTCCTGAAGTCAATGAGCAAACAAAGAGAAGCTCAACAACAACAGCTTCAGGTTGGTAATCTCCATTTTTGCAAATCAATATGTGGTCTTCAAGTCACAGAACTAGAAGTGATGGTATATGTAGGGCTAATAATTTTTTTTTGCATCTAACATTATAACAGGTAATGCAGATTAATGAAACTTAAATCACATATTTTGCAACAATTATGCATGTGCACACGGGCGGTTGCAGACAGCGTTTGGGGGGCCAACTTGGCATAGGGGCCCCTGCTGACCCTCGGGGGGGGGGCTGTGCTTGCTTTAACCCGCGCCTGGCTGGGGGTCCTGGATTTCCACGCCCTGCTGGGGGGGGGGGGGTTGCTTGCTTGAACACCCCTCTTCTAACTCGGCTCTTGGGCCACGTAGAGATACGCGGAAGGCGGCGTTCGAAAGGGCGCCAAAAATAATGACGAAATCACTTCGGTCACTTTTTTGGTCAGGTCAAAGGTCAGGTCACCAGAGGTCATTGAAGGCAAAATTTCGCCGATTTCCAGGTCGAATGTCGACAATTTCCAAGAAGCCAACGCATAACTCGGGAACCAATAGAGCTACAGCGCTGCGGAAAAGCGCATTCGATAGCCCTTTTAACGCCCTTTCTGAGTAATTCTCTCAGATTTGACCTAACGTCAACCGTTTTGCCTGCAGGGGGCAAAAACTGCAAAATAGCCGATTTTTTCGGAAACAGTTATTTTTTTAAAATTTAATTTAATTCTTTTTTAAAAATTTAGTCCAAACCTTTTGATTGGAAGGATTCACAAGGACAGAGCCACCGCTAGGCGAAGCTTGTTGCGGTGACCCTGCCCTCTACCCTCCGATCGCGCAATTCCAGTTCTATGGCAGAATTTAGATTCCAAAGTTTAACGTGCGCACATAGCCGCGCACGGCCGGTCCCCTCACTGACTCCGTCTGGCTACGGCCTGCCACCAACCGCAACCATACCTGTCAGGAGGCCCATAAATGTCAAGCGCCCGTCGCGCTTCGAACCCGGACTGTTATAACCGGGAACGCGTGCTCTCACCACGCGGAGTCCAACGCTCTACCAATTTAGCTACGGGACCGGCAATAACTTTTTTTTTGCAATAACTTTTTACCCAAGCCTTGTCCCAAGCCTTGTACGAGCTTACTTTCACCGGCATCGTGTTCCTCTCGTCAAGACGCATCGAATGAACTATAACTTGACCTTGAAAGATCAGCTTGAAAATTTGACCTCAGGTCAAGGTCATGATCTGACCGGAAAAGGTCATGTTGCATATCAGTCGATCCGTATCGTCGAGCTGAACACATTAACCCTCGCCCGCACATGGGGGGGGGGGGTGGTTGCCACCCCCCCAGGCAGTCTTTCTGCTCTGCACTCAACATTTATAGAGCTAGAAGGCTGATTTTTCGTATAGCTGCTCGTCTATCCTTTCTTGATGTCCACTGAAAATTTCAAGTTTCTGTGATTTTTGGTTTCGGAGATATGACCTTGTTTTTCAGGTCATGTCATGACCCAAATGGCCAATTCTCAACATCTTGCGTTTGCCATGGGCCTTGTGAGCTTTTGACACCCTGATTTCGGCCTTTTTTGCCAGTCTTACCTCCCACCTATCATGGAACATGTTGTTGGACGATGTACAGGGGTCAAGGTCAGGGTCAAGGTCAACCTAGGTCATCTAAGATAATTGCGTTTTAGGCAAGCTGAATTTACTTTTTGTGAATTTGTTTGACTGCATTTCTGGTAAAAGCTTCTCAGATCATGATTTCATGTGATATGGACCCAAAAACAATCGGTGCACACATCAGTATACACACAGACACACACAGACATACAAACACATATAATTGACCTTGACCTAACTTGACCTGAAATGACCTCAGCAGCAAAATTCTGGTCGGATAGTGTGACAAAGTGGTTCTAGCTGGCTTGGCACCAGAAAACAGCATCGTCATCGGTATTTGATAAGCAGCGCACTTGATATCCAACGGTGACCCAAAACAGCAACATTTTTTAGTTTGACCTGACCTGGAAGGTCAATGACTGACCTGAGAAGGTAAAACTGGGTATCATTGGATTCGTCTCTTCCCAAAGAATCTTTTTGGTCTTTACTGCTAAGCTCTATCTCCAACAGGAACGAAATGGCGCGGGGGGGTGGCAACCACCCCACCCCCCCATGTGCGTTCTAGGATGGGAAAATGGCATGTGCGGGCGAGGGTTAAAGGCGTTTTCATCGCTCTAGCATGCCTCTATCAAAAGTTATTTGCGAAAAACTGTTAGATACCATTCGTGACCTGAGATGACCTCAGGGACATAAACAGGGGTCACGGACACCATTTTCATGTTCAGTGTGAATAAGCCACTTGTAATTCAGTGTTTGGGAGTGTTTATAATGTCTCGTCCGAAAGAGGCGCATTTCAATTTTCTCCCATTACTTATAGATACCTAATGGAGAGGTCGCAAAATTCATCTGACCTGCTTAGGTCATCGATATCAAAATTTTTGAGGTATACATTTTGTACATGCTATTGCTCTTAGCAATCTCTGAAAGTTTCAAAGTGATCGGTCACTCGGTGTAGCTATGACAGACATTGAAACTGTTTATGAGGTGAGGTCACTTTAAGTGACCTGGTGGCCTTACCTTGAATGACCTTGGTCTGAAATTTTCACAACATGTGTAAAATAGGTGTACGAAAAACGGCGGCGATCCGCGCCGCCGTTTTTTTTTTTAGATATTCGCGAAAAACCACAGGGAGGGGGGGGGGGTGTTCATGAAGCTGAAGTCAGCGGAGGGTCATCTGATGGGTCGGACGAGACCACTGTTATCGGCCGAGTGTTCAGCAGCGCCTCAGCACGACAGAAGGCAGTCTGCAGCTCTTCATCAGTCAGATCAGCGCTTTGTAGCGTTTTGCGCAGCGCTGTTTTAGCGAACTTCACCATAGCTTCACAGCCGCCATTGAAGTGTGGTGCTCCGGGAGGGATGAATTGCCACTTGATGTAGAGATGTGCCGTCTTGTCCTGGATTTCATCTTCCTCCAGCTGACGTAGAAGTCGGCGTATCTCCCTGTCGGCGCCCACGAAGTTGGTGGCATTGTCGGATGTCACATGGCTCGGCTTTCCTCTTCTCGCGATGAATCGCATGAAGGCGCGAAGAAAGCTGTCTGTGTCTAGGCCATATGCCATCTCTAAATGAATGGCCTTCGTGTGTAAGCAGTAGAACAAGCACAGGTAGCGGTTCTGTCTTGTTTTTCCGCGTCCTTGTCGGGTCTCGAATGGTCCAGCAAAATCCACTGTTATGTGTTTAAATGCTGGGTAGGTCGGCTGCACGTGACACTGCAGCTTCGAGCCCATCTTCTGCACCACTGGCGGGCTCCGTCTTCTCACGCACTCTGGACAGGTGCGTATGGCACGCTTCACCGTCTCTCTGGCAGCGACTATCCAGAACTGCTGTCTCAGCTGAGACACGGTGTGCTCCACTCCCATCTCGTGGTCTCCGTCCTTGTGTGTCTGTCCAACGATGAGACGCGTTACATCATGCCGCTTGGGTAGTAGCGCCGGGTGTTTGGCTTCAAATGGTAAGTCTGACCGCTGCATACGACCGCCAACACGAATGATGCCATCTTCATCAATGAACGGTGACAGTCGCCTGATGCTACTGTCCTTCAGCTTTATCTGACTTGAGTTTTCCCGCCGAGTGATGAGCTGCTGCCTTTCCGGTTCAAACTCACTTTGAGCCTGCTTAATCCAGAATACTTCTGCAGTCTTCACCTCTGAAGGGTCCAGCGGAGGTACAGATGAAGCGCTTGAGGTCTTCTGATGCTCATGGCCTGACCGTCGCTTCAGATTTGCCACGAACCTGAGCACGTAACCAGTGATTCGCAGCAACTTCTTCGAGGTTGAGAAGCGAGAAGACTGCAAGCGGCAGTCCTCGTCCATCGTCTTCACCTGGGTGTTCTTCACGACACATTTCGTTCGTCGATCTTCACTTTTGTCGAAGTTCTTCAAGAAGCCCAGTCTTGCAGGCCATCTGTCGGCCGTCTCGCACAGAAAGCTGGGACCTTTCCACCACAACTCGCTGGCTGTCATTTCGTCCAAAGACTGACCTCTGGTAGGCAGATCAGCTGGGTTGCTGGCCCCAGGAACGTGCTGCCACTGTCTTGGTTCCGTCATCTCTCTGATTTCTGACACACGATGTGCCACAGAACTCTGAGAAATCGGCTGACCTCGTTGCGAACCCAGCACAGCACATTGACTGAATCTGACCAGAAGAAGACTCCAGCCATTGGGATGTGCATCATCTTGCACACTTTCTTCACCAATCGAGCACCAAGAAGTGCTCCCCATCAGCTCAAGGCGCGGTATGCTCACTTCTCTCGACTTCGGTGCTACCCTGGCTCTTGACATGGCCAGTCTTGATGACCTTATGTCGCCCTGCTGACTCACCACATATATCGCAGCGGCGTAAGCTGACTCAGATGCATCAGAAAACACATGAATTTCCTGTCTGCTGACATTTTCGAACGGGTGGAGGCAGCGTGGCACGGTTAACGCTTTTTTAATGTCGGCTTTCCATTTCCTCCATCTGTGCTCCAGCTCTGGTGTGAGGTCATCATCCCATCCCAAGTTCAGCTACCAAGTCTCTTGAAACAACAGCCTTGCGGTGATCGTAAATGGAGAACAGAGACAGAGAGGATGGAATACGGATGCCAGTTTTTTGAGACAGTGTCTTTTTGTCTCCCTGTTTTCTCCATCTTCATTTGTCTTCGAGCTGGCTTCATTCGTCTTCAGACCGGAACTGACGCCGAGTGTGTCTTCTTGAGCCATCCAGATGACTCCCAACGTCTTGTTTGGAGAGGAATCGTGTTCAATCGTAACTGCTGGCCGCTGAGCCCTGTCTTCAGACGGTATACTCTCCATGACATCTGTATGGCTGCTCATCCATCTTCGAATCTCCATTCCCGCCTCTTCCATGAGCTCTGTCAGCTGCGTCCGAGCCTCCACCGCCAGGCGCCATCTCTACGTTTTCAGAGGAAGTGATTGCGTCATCCATGTAGAAGGAGTCTGTCACGACTTTTGAAGTGATTGGTAGCTTCTCTTCATGGATCCTGGCATTTCCGTTGACGACAAACTGCGCCGCGAACGGAGCTGCTGCGTTTCCGAATAGCCATCTGTTTGCTTCATACCGGGTGGCCCAAAAACAAAAAACGTTCCCAACTTTAAATCAATATTTCTCAGAAAGTGATAAAGATACAACATTGAAACTTCGAATAGTCAATGCGGCACACATTTTCAGTAAATGGTGCGATTTTCATGGTGTTTGGTAATTTACTTCTTAAACGGTTCGTGTTTCAAGCATGCCATGTAAAAATTACTTTTTTGCTCCGATGCTTACTAGAAAATTTTAGTGAACGGGTCACTTTCACCCCGCGACACCGCGGCCTAGAGCCATGACTTCAACTGGCAGCTAGTCTCATTGATGGTTCGGGTATCAGGATGACACATTCCCTCAGGCAACCACGATGGGTCTGTGCCAGCGGCATCGGAAGAAGTTTCCAGTTTTCTAACCATCTTGTGGCTCAAATGCTTTCCTGGCTGAATAGCCATCTGTTTGCTTCATAGATGTCGACTTGATGTTCTGGATCTCCATTCCGCCACAGCACCCTGTGGTACACCTTCGATCTTTAGCTGGAAGCTTCACTTGGAGAAACATCTCCTTCACATCCCCTACCAGCGCCACCGGGTGGTGACGGAATGCAAGCAGAACTTCAATGAGATCGTTGCATATTGATGGACCTGCGTAGAGTTCGCTGTTCAGACTTCTTCCCTTAACCCGCGCACCGACGGGGGGGGGGGGGCGGATATGCGTCCCCACTCCCCCCTGAGGTTTTTTGCGAATAGCGGAAAATCGCGCCGCGAAATTTGGTACGACTATTCTCTCATCAATTTTACACATGGTGTGCAAGTTTGAACCTCCTTACTTTTAAGGTCAGGTCACCAGGTCACTTTGAATGACCCAACCTCAAGTCACTTTTTTGCAACTTTGTCACCGTGCCAGAGCTACAGTAGATGTCGGAGGCCTTTGAAAGTCGCAGGATGTTATTAAGTCATTAGTAGCTACAAGTTGTTTATCTCGGAATCTTGATATCGATGACCTAAGGTCAGGTCAAGCTCTCGACCTCCCCATTATAAGTCAATGGGGGAAAAATCAACTCCCTGTTTTTACCCCTAAACCGCGTCGGAATTGCCCCATATACCATACATGACTTCATATACGATCAACCTTCACTACCTTGAGGTCTGTTTTGCTGTTGGTCAGCTGTAAGGTCATGTGACGTCATCAAAGGTACCAGCGGTTTTTTGCTAATAACACCGTACAGGAACAAGATACAGCTGCGCGGATGGTCTCATTGTGTTCAGGTCGTCAAGACGCATCGAATGATATACATGATGACCTCGAGGTCATGTGACCTGAGGTCAACCTTTGACCTTGACCTTTCGAGGTCAACATATATGTCATTCGATGCGGATTGACGAGAGGATCACGATGATGCCCTTAGTTTGTTCCTATCTTGAGTAATTCGAAAGTTATTTGAGAAAAACTCCATATCTAGCGCCGCCATTTGGACTTGTTGACCCCTGTGACGTCATCTTTGACCTGACCTGAAAATGACCTTTGTAAAAGTTGTAGACCTTGTCCGTGCGTATCCGATGCCGTTTACCACTTGTCGCTATCTTGCTTCGTTTTCGAGATCTCAGGGGGGGGGGCTGTCATCCGGCCCCCCGTCGGTTCTAAGTTGGCGCAGACCCCCGTCGGTGCACGGGTTAAATCTGGCGACAGCGTCGTACACCATTCTGACTTTTGTCGTGGAACGATCGTTCCTAACGACCGGGAAATGGGGGGCAAAAACCAGCCGTCCAGTTCAGCTGCCTGTCGTTCCTCGCCTTCAAGCTTCTTCATGTATCCTTTGGACAGCTAGTCTTCAAATATGGCGTCATACTCCGTCAGCAGGTCGGCTCTCTTCAGAGACTGTTCTGTCTTGGTTAGCCTTTTTTTACTGCTTGGTCATAGTTTCCGCTCAGGTTTGGTCTGTCAGCTCGCCATGGCACAGCCACCTCGTATCGTTCGCCATCAAACTTCATGGAATCCTTCACCTTCTTTTCTGCTTGTTTTTCCTTCATGTGACAGAGCTTCTTCATCTGAATTGTGCAGTGTGCACCCCAAGAAGATCCAAGCTGTTCATGACTTTCATGGCTTCGATTTCTTCTTTGTTTTCTTTTTCCAGTTTCAGCGGAGCTCGTACATCATCAGGTATGTGCATCTTTAGATGCGTTCTCATCGTCTTGCTATTGCTCCCCTGCTTCACATCACCCAGCGGGCCGAATGCCGTCTACCCCAGCAGCGTCTTGATTCCCACTGGATCACATTCGCCACCTCTTACTGTCTCGAATGGAACAAAGAGGGACGTCGTGTTCTGTGTCAGCCCGATGAGCACATCCGCATCATTCTTCTCCGTGCCCGCTGGAAATGGCAGGGACTTCAGATGCTCCCACTTGAACTTTATGCCGTTCCAGTCCGCTGTCGTAAAAGCGCTGGAGAGGTCGTCAATGATGAACATGTTGACCTCGGTCCTCAAGCTGTCGTCAAGAGAACCCATCTTCACTTTCGATTTCTGCATGGTCACGTGCTTGTTTCCTTGCACTGTTCCCAGTTCGAGCTTCTCTTTGAACCCACTGAGGCCAAGTTCTTCAGTAACAGCTTCCGTGACAAAAGTGGCGTCTGAACAGGAGTCTAGGAGCGCGTTGACCACCACAGATCGGCCTGCCCAGCTCAACTTCACCGGCACTGTTCGGAATGCTACGGAGCTGGCTTCTTCAGATGTATGTTCTGTGCTGAAGACTTGAGAAACATTCGCGTTTGTCCTCTGTGGTGTCTCCAGAACAGCGGAAGTCTCGGCAGCTGGTGCCTCTGGCTGTGACGTTACATTCGTTTCAGCATGCAGTAGCGTATGATGATTGCCGCCACACGTCGAGACTGAGCAGCCGGGATATCCGCGGCAATTGCGCCCGTGGTGAATCCCTGACAAACAGCGGAAGCAGACACCTTTTGCCTTGCAGAAATGGTACCTGCTGCCGACTGTCCACTGACGGAACATTGGACACACCTCCAACATGTGTTCTCCACTGCAGTATATGTTGAAAAGCTTTCAGAGCTTTTAGCAAATCAGCGTTTGGCTCAGCTTGAGCTTATTCCGTAGAAGTGAAGAAATGATAGAGACACACTGAAAGGATAATACATGCACTGTCAGGCGACAGCTCATGCAGCAAAAGGGACAACCGACGGCAAGCACATGCAACACACATAACCAAGCATTTACAGCCAGCATGCTAAGCGACACATGCGCTAGCACCGACAAGACATCATAACGGGTACACTGTTTCTGTTTACTTTCCTTGTCGGAGGCTGTGGTTCTGGCATTGAAAGTCTTGTTGTCTTTCATCATGTTTTGATCTTTTTCATTGTTTTCTTTCTTCGAACTGACTGTTGCCACTTCCGGTGCCACTTCCGGTGCCACTTCCGGAGCCACTCATCTCTTGGGCGTCTCTCTCGCATACTGCTTCATCTGCCAGCCAGCTGGCAAAAAGTGTGAAGCTGTCCGTTTCCTTCTGGTGTTGAACCCATCGCTTGTAGCTTTTAGGTAGCTGGCGGGCAGCTTTTCCTGAACAAGGATGTAATATGCAGAAATATGTGACAAATCTCCGGCATAGCCATGTTCTTCCAGGTTTGTACTCTGCACTCGGTCGGCTAAATCTTCCAGATCTCTGTATGAGCCGTGACGGACTGGCTTTAGCTGACGGATTTCATCAAGTTGGTACCGAATCCGCCGTCCCACTCCTCCATACTTCCGGTCTAACTCGCTTCTGGCCTTGCTGTACCCAGTTTCATTGGGGCTGTATCTTTGAACCATCTTCAGGGGATCTCCTGCTAGACAAGTGCGAAGTTGAATCATTTTAAATTTGTCCGGGATCTTTTCATTGCCAACAAACGCATCAAATGTGTTTTTCCAGTCTTCATATTTGCGTTTATC